CTGTAATAGGTTTTTGTGCCTTTTCCTGAAATGTAATTTACCCTTGTCTGCCTCCTCCTTTCCTTTTCTCTCAGTACATTTTCTTTGTTAGATCAGATTAATTCACTTACTTGGATCCAGTTAACCCATTTGATTAGATTTTTTTCATCATTCCACCAAAGTCAATTTATACCCACCCCCTTTATGTATACTTCTTTAACATGGTGTAATAACAATACAGGTCTCAAGAGTCACCAGTGTCATCTTCCCTTGTAGGGATGTAAACAATTTGCCCTTATTAATAACATGTTGTTTCTTTCTGTCCCATTTACCTTTTAATGTCTCTCCTGAGCCTTGTATTTGAAGATCAAATTTTCTGTTGAGCTCTGGTCTTTTTATCAGGAAGGTTTGGAAGTCCCCTATTTCATTGAATATCCATCTCCTCCCCTGAAAGATCGTGCTCATTTGCGCTGGGTTGGACAGTATATTTTTAAAGGTACGTTGACTGAGTTGATATACCCAGAGTTAGAGAGGACCAGGCAGGATGGGATGGTCAGATGGAAGTCTTGACCTGTGACTAGCAGTTGAAATTATCTGGACCTGTTTAGGCTGAGGAAGAGAATAGTGAAGGGAAACGCAGCAGATGAACGTGATCACAGACTTCAAACATTTTGAGGGTTTTCTGGAAGAGGAATTATTCTGCACAGTTCCAGATGAGATTTGCAGAACTTGGGCCAGTAGATGGAAGTTAATCTGTTGGGTAGATTTTCATAGCGGTTAAAATTCATAACAAACCAGGTAATAAATCCCTGGAAGTACTCCTGACTTAGAACCAAACTTATTGGGGGAAACCTAACCTATTTAACTGGATTTGGGTAATTTTTAACTTAATTGATTGTAGGTAAAGGCCATAATCAGAAGAGACACATAGAGAAGCAAGTAGAAGAGAACTAAGTAGATGTAAATCCTTGCAGACTACAGGGGCATGCCATGGAAAAGACCCCAAGGGTAGAAGTTGCTATCCTATCATCACTGTTCTTTGGATTGTAACCCAGAAGCACACACTTTTGTGTGTGGATTAGGCCTGCGAAACTAGTCTCCATGATCATATAAAATGCTTTAGAAAGAGCTCAGGAATCACTTGATTAACATGAATATGGATAAGACTGATCTATTTTAGTCTTATTGTAACAAGAATAGCAACACTTCTTGGGAGGCTTCTCTGCTTCTAGGCAAAATGGCCTTAGTAACATGGGGCTGGAACAGGCGAGGAGACAAGGGGCTAATTCCAGTGGGAATTATCAGTGGAAAGGGCTTTGCCTGGCAGCTTGAATGTCATGAATCTGGAATGGGGTAAGGGGATAGAAGTGGCGAATGGTGTTAGTCCTGCTGTAGCAAAGAGATTCACTTGGGCCTTTCTGACCTGGCATCTAGGCTGAGGCTTCAGGTACTTAATTGATAATCACTGTCCCTTCTTCCACCTCTATCAAGATGCAGAAGAACCTGCTGTGCAAGTTTTCTCAGGGTATGTCAGATAGCACTTAGACTTAACAAATAATGAAGTCATGGTACACCCATGTCACCAGGCAGAATGAACACAACTTCCAGATGCCACAAAAGAGGAAGTGAGAGTCACTTTATGAAAAGATTTACTCATTCTCCCTTTGTCCCATATGTCTCCCTTCCTTGCCTACCTTTTCTTTCTAGAGAGACCTATACAGTTCATTTTGAGGATCTCACATTTCTCCTTTCCTTTTCCTGGGAAATCTACTGCTTGGAAATAGTTTTTTTTTCTTTCTTTCCACTGTTGCAAACTCGATCTTTTGTAAATTGCAACTTTTGTACACAATTTCTTCTTGCTGGAATAGTGGCTCAGCACCAACCTGTGGATTCATACTGAGTTTCCAGAGCCTAAATGTCATGAAACACTTTATGGATGAGATGGGGAGGTGTTTTACTGGAAAGCAATTGTGTTCTATGAGATGAGAGAGAGAGACAGAGAGTGAGAGAAAGAGAATGAATGTTTGATATGTGACTTTTAGACAAAAGTCTAAACTAACATTTAAGAAATCATATGTTCACTATGTGTGGCTTAGTCAAAGAGGAATTCAATGGGCATTTATGGAGTACCACTGTTGTGCAAGAAGTGATCCAAATTTCTCTTTTATTGTCAGAGGGCATCAAATGGTTCTCTTGGCTGAAATAAAAAGAAAGGCCTTGAGTTGATCTGTTTGAAGATCATAAGGAACAGAAACACAGTATCACAGTCCTTAAATTTATTTAGCTTTTTGCAGAGGCAGTCAAGAGTTAAGTGACTTGCCCTAGTGTCACCTGTCTGAGGCTGGATTTGAACTCAGGTCCTCCTGACTCTAAGGCTGGAGTTCTATCCGCTGTGCCTCCTAGCTCCCCTTTTAAATTTATAACAGTATACAAACCACTACACATACAATGAGGGTACATGTACTTAGCTTCGCCAGGCTTTCCAAATCTCAATTGGTTCCAATCTCTGAAAGGAAATCATTAGAAACATAGTGGTTCCAGGAAAACCTGTTCTTCCCAGAACTAGAGGCTGGATTGAAGGGGCCCCAGTGTTTAGGGCTAACACTACTTTATACTCAAAAGGGTAAAGGGAAGCAATTTAGGGTAAGAAGACCCCATGTACCTTTTTTTTTTTTTAATTTTTTTTCAATGATCAGAAATTTATTTTCTTTCCTTTCCCATTCCCCCTCCATGAACCAGGTTGGGGGTGGGGGACAGAACTCTTATAATAAATATGAATGATAGGCAAAACAAGTAATCGCATTGGTCATGTCCAAAAATATGTCTCATTCCACATCTTGACTCCATCACCTCTGTCAGGAGCTACTGTCCTGTTACTGTCTAGAGCAGGAGTTCTTAACCCAAGGTCTGTGAACTTGCTTATTTTAACTGTATTTAAATATAATTGGTTTATTTTGTAACCCTATATATTTTATACATTTAAAGACATTACTCTGAGAGAGGGTCCATCATTTTCACCAGAATGTCAAGTGGGTCCTGACAAAAAGAGTTAGAACTCGTGACCTACAGGAAGAATGGTTGGAGGCCTGCCTGAGTCAGGATGACCAAAGTTCAAGTTCTGGCCTGCCTTCTAGTCCCACCTCAGACGCATTATGTTTTTGTGACCCTGAACAACTCGTTTAACCTTTCAATGCTCCTGATAACTTTCAAAGTCTAAGTTACAAGACCACCATTGCCCTGCTTGGGCAGAGGAAGCTGCTTCATTAGGAGCTCCACACGTTAAGGTAGTCACACACAAAATCCTGTTGTCACGTGCTCCTCAAACACCACTCCTTATCACATCACAAATGTTCCAGTGGCTTACCGTTTTCATGTGAGACTCAGTGCTTCCGCCTGACCTTCCAGAGTCTGGCCCTAGTCAACAAGCCTTTGCACTTATGGTATGCCAAGCACTGAGCTACACAAAGTGCAGCACTCCCTGATCTCTGTTCTATCAGGAGAGGCAATGTGTGTATACAGAAAAATGTATGCGTAATAAATACAGAATAAATGTAATATCAATAAGGAGGGCAATAGCTGTTGGAGGGACTGGTGGTGCTTGAGGTGCCTCTTGAGGGAAGTTAGGGGTTCTGTGAGGTAAAAGGTAAGGAGTCAGTGTGTACCAGGCAAATGCGCAAAGATGGCAGAAGATGGGTTGCCATGGCTGAGGAACAGAGAAAAGTCCAGTTTGGCTGGACTGTCTTTTACAGAAAGAGTAGTAATGTGTTAATGACTCTGGAAATAGAGGTTGGGACCAAGTTTTGTTTTCTTTCCAGCCAAAGACAAGATTTATTAGAACATCCGTCATATTGGGCAGACTCTTAAGGAGTCTGAACCTTAATGAGCTATTGGCTAGATTATAGGAATCTGAGCCTGGGACCAAGTTTTGAAAAGCTTTAAAAGCCAGTCAGAAGAGTTTATACTTTATCTTGGAGGCAGTGGAGAGCCAGTGGAGCTAATTGAACAGAGGAATGACACAGTCAGATCTGTGCTTAAGGAAAATCACTTTGGCAGCTGTATGGAGGCTGGCTAGGAATGGGGAGAGACTTGAGTCAGGAAGACCAATTAGGAGGTCAGTGCAATAGTCTAAGTGAGAAGTGATGAGGATCTGAACTAAGGTGGTAGTTATAGCAAAGGGATTGGTGTCAGGGATAGTATAGTGGTAGAAACCTGAAGAGTTGGCAGCTGATTGGATATGTAGTATGAGAGTAAAAAGTGAATGATGGAGAGGTTATGAACGTAAGAGAGTGGAAGAATAGTGGTACTCTCACAGAAATAGAGACATTGAGTATGGGGAGAGGGTTTGAAAGAAAAATGAGTTCTCTTTTAGACGTAGTGAGTTTGAGATGTCTCTGAGACATCCAGTTTGAGATGCTCCAAAGGCAGCTGGTGATGTGGAAGTTCCCCCCAAGGCCTGTCACTGGTACTATTTTCCCTGAAGCCTATCTTCGCCTTCAGGGTGAAAGTGGGACTCTTCCTCTTCACATTTTTTGTTATCAGATTACTAGGACCTATCTTTTGTACTCTTCTCTCATTTGCTGTTGTCATAGTTTTTGTGTACATGTATTTCTATCCTATTAGATAATAAGCTTCTTGAGAGCAAGAGCTGTAGTATCTGTCTTTGTATCTCCAGTGTCTTCCATCTAGCAAGTGCCTGATAAATGTTCATTTTTTGAATCACCTACCATGTTAGATTGGATCAAATTAATTTGGATCAAATTAAATAATTGATGTGAATGCTTTTATAAAGCTTGAAGCCCTATTCAGATACATGGCATTTACTATCGTCATCATCATTATTAATAATCATCCTAGGGTTTGATACAAACCTGACCATGTTAGAGTGTGGCCTTAACAAATTTGTGGCAGAGATAGCAACAGGACGTGGGACAGGATGAGGCACTCTGGTCCATTGCTGGGCTTGAAGTAATCGGCGTTTGGTATAATGAAGCTTACCTATAGCATGTTTGATGTCATTGCAGGAGGGAACACTGGAAGTTACTGAGTAATTTGAAGACTACTGTGGAGGGTTTGGTGTCAGCCAACAATCCCAATGTCTGGTCCAAATATGGAGGCTTGGAGCGACTTTGCCGAGACATGAAGGGCATCCTTTATCATGGGCTCATCCATGACCAGGTATGCCAAGACCCTTCTTGTTTACCAGCTACACAGAAATACTCATTGGGAAGAAGGGAAAATTAGTTACATTACAGGCGAGTTGGGTAGTATATAGAGAGAAAATGGCCAAGTAGGTCAGTGCATCTAGGTACCAGGAAATTAGTTGATTATGTTTAAGAGGAAAAAAAAATAAAAAAAATTATGTTTAAGAGAGCCTTTAATTCAAAGCTATGGTGCTTTTTTTTTTTTTTTTTTTTTGCTTCAAAAACACAGAGCAATGAGGTTGCTACAATGAAAATACAAGACAAAAATATGGTAGAATTGGCCCATGACTTTGACAGAGTCCTGATTACTCTTATGCTATGGTTGTATCTAATTTGGGGAAATTTACCCTTTTTTGCTCTGAAAGCAGTCTAATTGAACTGAATGATGAGCTGATTTAAGTGTTATTTGAGAGTACCTTCTTATCTCAGAATACTAGATTCTCTCCTTGACTCTTCCCCCCCTACTTAATAGTATTTTTTTTCAGTTACATGTAAAGATAGTTTTCAGCATTTACTTTTATAAGATTTTGAGTTCCAAATTGTTGTCCCTCTCTCTCTTCCCTCCCCCCTCCGTAAGACAGTAAGTAATCTGATATAGGCTATACATGTACAATCATATTAATCATATTTCTATATTAGTTATATTATGAAAGAAGAATCAGAACAAAAGTCTCCTTGACTCTTAGTGAATTAGAATCTTGAGTTTCTTGCCTAAATCATTGTCTTCAAGTTAGGAAAGGGAAAAATTAGCCATGTGAACTGTTGGCATTTCCCTTGACAAGGCAACCAGAGTACAGACTGAAAATGCATTTTCAGAGCAGAGGGACATAGAGGGAAGAATTAACATTCTTAGGTCTTGATGTCAACCAGTTGCTCTGGAGACCAGCCTAGGAGAGTTCTTAGAGATGTTATTGGGCCCTTTGGCATAGTTACAATATATTTTAACTTTCCAAGGACTTTTTCTCTGTTGCTTTATCAATTTTCAATTGATATTTGGAGAAAAGTTTTCAGTTCCACTTTTTTTTCCCTAAGGATAAACTGTCATTGGGTTCATTTTCTTTTATTCATGCCTCAAATTTTGAAGTTGGGTAATACATAGTGGCTTCTCTACCATTCTTGGCAATAAGCTAAGCTTCTTATGGGGACCATTCCTAGGTAAAATTTGTGAAGTAAGTGAAAAGTCCCAAGATGAAGTGAATAGAAATCTGTCAGGAAGACCTGTGTTCAAACCACTGAATCTTTTAGAGCCCAGACAACTCTGAAAGCCTTTGAAGTTGTAGAGCAGGTATAAATTTCTAGTGGTAGAGAGAGAGCATCCTCACTTTCATCTCTGGGAAATCCCTATCATGAAATCCCAAGTCCAGATCTGAGCACACCTAATTCCTCCCCCCTACACACATACCCCCATACCTTTCTAAGAAATTGGAAGTTGTCTTTGATGTCCTTGTATTTCTTCAGATTATTCTTTCTCCTCCTCTCTCCCAACCTCAAACTTCACTGTAGAACAGGCCTGCACAACATACGGCCTGCCAAAGGTGCCAGAGGTGGCCTGTGAAAAACGTAGACGATGTAAAACAGGTCTACAGGATGCCTTGGCGAGCTGCAAGTGGTCTGTGGACCTTATATTGGCTCTAGAACCTAGTGGCTTTATATTGTCACTAGAGAGGCCCAAGGAGGCCTGCACTCTTGTCCATTAAAACCTGTTCTTAACTATAATTTTTTATTTTTTATTTTATTTAAAAAATTTTTTTTTATTTTTAGTTTTCAACATTTACTTCCACAAGGTTTTGAGTTCCAAATTTTCACCCCATCTCACCCCTCCCCCCACCCCAAGATGGCATGCATTCTGAATATCCCTTCCCCTAGTTTGCTTTCCCTGCTATCTCTCCTCCCCCTTCCCCTTCTATTTTCCTGTAGGGCAGGATAGATTTCTGTACCCCATTTTCCTGTATTTCTTATTTCCCAGTAGCATATGAAAACATTTTTTTTAAACATGTGATTTTAAAACTTTGGGTTCCAAATTTTCTCCCTTCCTCCCTCCCCACCCACCCTCATTGAAAAGGCAAGCAACTCAACATAGGCTATACATGTGCAGTTATGCAAAACACTTCAATAGTAGACATGCAGTGAAAAACTAACTGTATTTCCCTTAATCCTATCCCACCCCCCCATTTATTCTATTCTTTCTTTTGACCTTGTCCCTCCTCAGAAGTATTTGCTTCTGATTACCCCCTTTCCCAATCTGCACTCCTCTCTATCATTCTCCTGCTCTCTTGTCCCCTTCCCCTCCTATTTTCCTGTAGGGTAAGACAGATTTCCATACCCAATTGAGTATGTATGTTATTCCCTCCTTAAGTCAAATCCTATGAGAATAAGATTCACTCATTCCCTCTTACCTTCCCCTGTTTCCCCTCCACTGTAAGAGCCTTTTCTTTTCTGTTTTTTTTTTGTGAGATAATTTACCCTGTTCTACCTTTCCCTTTCTCCTTCTCCTAGTATAATCCTCTCTCACCCCTTAATTTTATTCTCCAGATATGACCCCTTCATCTTCAACTCACCCTGTGCCCTCTATCCTATCTATCTGTCCATCTATTTATCTATCTATATATATACACACATATAATTTTTTCCCTCCAACTACCCTAATACTTACAAAGGTCTCATGAGTTACAAATATCATCTTTCCATGCAGGAATGTAAACAGTTCAACCTTAATAAGTCTCTTATGATTTCTCTTTCCTGTTTACGTCTTCATGTTCCATTTGAGTCTTGTATTGGAAAGTGAAATTTTCTATTCAGCTCTGGTCTTTTCATTAAGAATGCTTGAAAGTCCTCTGTTTCACTGAATGACCATTTTTTCCCCTGAAGAATTATACTCAGTTTTGCTAGGTAGGTGATTCTTGGTTGTAATCCTATCTCCTTTGCCCTCTAGAATATTATATTCCATGCCCTGTGGTCCCTTAATGTAGAAGCTGCTAAATCTTGTGTGATGCTGATTGTGTTTCCACAATACTTGAATTGTTTCTTTCTGGCTGCTTGTAATATTTTCTCCTTGACCTGGGAGTTCTGGAATTTGGCTACAATATTCCTAGGAGTTTTCCTTTGGGGATCTCTTTCAGGAGGAGATCGGTGGATTCTTTCAATTTCTATTTTGCCCTCTGGTTCTAAAATATCAGGGCAGTTTTTCTTGATCATTTCTTGAAAGATGATGTCTAGGCTCTTTTTTTGATCATGGCTTTCAGACAGTCCAATAATTTTTAAATTCTCTCTCCTGGATCTATTTTCCAGGTCAGTTGTTTTTCCAGTGAGATATTTCACATTGTTTTCTAATTTTTCATTCTTTTGGATTTGTTTTACAGTGTCTTGATTTCTCATAAAGTCACTAGCTTCCAATTACTGTATTCTAATTTTTAAGGAAGTATTTTCTTCAGTAATCTTTTGGACTTCCTTTTCCATTCGGCCAGTTTTGCTTTTTAGGGCATTCTTCTCCTCATTGGCTTTTTGGACCTCTTTAGCCATTTGGGTTAGGCTATTTTTTAAGGTGTTATTTTCTTCAGTATTTTTTTGGGTTTCCTTTAGCAAGCTGTTAACTTGCTTTTCGTGATTTTCTTACATCACTCTCATTTCTCTTTCCAGTTTTTCCTCTATTTCTCTTACTTGCTTCTCAAAATCCCTTTTGAGCTCTTCCAAGGCCTGGGACTGATTCATATTTTTCTTGGAAGTTTTGGATGTAGGAACTTTGACTTTGTTTTCTTCTTCTGGTTGTATGTTTTGATCTTCTTTGTCACCAAAGTGAGATAATATAGTCTGACTCTTTTTGCGGTGCTTGCTCATGATCCCAACCAATTACTTGAGTTTTAAACTCTTTGTTAAGGTAAGAGTCTGTTTCCAATGTGGAGAGTGTACTGTCCCAAGCTTTGGGGGTTTGTACAGCTGTTTTCAGAGATACTTCTAGGGACCTGACAAGTGTCAGTTCTTCCAAGGTGCTATGATAAGGGGTGAGGGGTTTCCTCTCCACCGCCACAACAAGCTGCTCCACACCGGCACTCCTCCTCGCCAGCACTCCTCTTTGCCCCAGGACCGCCCCTCAGAACTGTGACCCAGATCCAAGCACGGGCAAAGCAAGAGATTCCTGCCTCAGCCCTGGCGATGAGATCTTTGCAATCCCCCTCTGATCAGCCACTCTATTCCCCCTCAGTCTGTGGGCTGGAAGCTCAGGAGGCAGCCGTGGCCCACACTTGGGACTTGTGGCTAAGACCTAGCTTCTTCTTTCACTGCAGTCACAGACTTTTCCCCCTAACCTTCTAAGTTGTCTTTGGTGTTCGTGGGTTGAGAAGTCTGGAAACCGCCACAGCTGCCTGCGATTCAGTCCTCTGAGGCCTGCGGCTTGTGTGCCCACGCCAAACTGCGCTCCTCTCCCAGCCCGGCGTGATATACCTTTCCGATCAGCCATCTGGGTTGTCTTGGGCTGGAAATTTGTTTTACTCTGTTTTTTTGTGGGTTCTCCTGCTTTAGAATTTGTTTAGAGCCATTTTTAATAGGTATTTGGAGGGGTTTGGGGGAGAGCTCTAGCAAGTCACTGCTTTCCCTCTGCCATCTTGGCTCTGCCCCCTAACTATCATTTTTTAAAAGATCTGATGAAATAATTTGCATTTAGGTCTCTTAATTTCCAGGGTTCTTTGTATTTTATTTGGTGGCAGAGTTTTGGAAACAGATGGATAGGTTTATAAGGGTTGAGTTTCAGAGAACACAGTATCAGTTGATAAGTGAAATATTTAGGGGTAGAGAGTAAAGAAATCGAAGTGCTTTGTGTGTCCCCCCTCAGAACATATTACTGCAGTTAGCCTAAGTGCTGTGTTTGTTAATCTCTTAGCACCATCACATGAAAGCAGAATATTTATCTCCTAACTTCACAGATAGGCAAATAGAGGCAAAGGAGACAGGAGACCTTGAGATTTTGTTCATTTCTCTGCTGTTCCTGAACCAGACAACTTCCTTAGATACTATAAGCTCTCTCTATAAACTACCTCACAGGAAATGCCCAAAGTGATTGCTGAGATTGTCATGAAATCTAGAATATACCACACTGCCTTTCATTTCACAATTTTATTTAGGACAAATCCTCCTTAGGAACAGGGGCCACTAGACCACACAGCACAGGTACAGGTCTGGAAGGTTCAGGCTTCAGAAATGATCTAGTCCAGTGCATTCATTTTGCAGGTGAGGAAACTGAAGCCCAGGGAGATTAAGTGACTTGTCCAAGGTCACGCAGTGAGCAATAGAGCCAGAGTTGGGATTTGACCCAGGTCTTTTGATTCCAGAATCTGTGTTTCACTGTTGAGAGTCAGTAGTATAGCGCCAAAAAGTCTGATTCAGACTCCCTCAGTGAATACTTGTTAGATCAATGAAGTGGGTGTCACCCTACCCATTTCTTCTCCCTTTGCCTTTCTCCTCCAAGATACCCAGTTCCCGTTCCTTTTGAATTTAAAGCCCTATTTTAAAAGCATTACTCTCAGAATTGGATCTAGAAGTTGGTAGTTGATTTACAATGAGAACAGTACATAGTAAGATGCCTCTGGAAAGAAGTGGTCTAAAAACTACAATTCATAAGCAAATTGTCACAAGGTTTTAATAATACAGAGGTTTAGGCTAAGGCAGCAGTTCTCAAAGTATGCTCTGGGGACCCTTTCAGAGGGTCAATGAGCTTGAAACTATTTTGATATTAATATTATGACATTATTTGCTTATTAAAATATTCCTCCTTTTTCCATCTTCATATCTGTAAAACGGCAGATTTTCTTCATAAACTTCAACCAGAACAACATGTTTATTACAATAGATTGAATGCAGAAGAAGATATGGAACTCTAGCTGTCTTCAGTGTTTTCTAGCTTGCCAGACGTTAAAGAAATCTGCAAAAATATGCAAAATAGTGTCATTCTCACTTTTTAAAAAATAGTTATTTTTCATGAAAATATCTTATTTTTATTTATTTTAATTTCTGATGTGGTAAATGTCAATAGATTGATCAATAGATCAACAAGTCTGGAGTGGTTTGCCATTTTCTTCTCTAGCTCATTTTACAGATGAGATGCTGAGACAAACAGGGCTAAGTGACTTACCTAGGGTCACACAGCTAATAAGTGTCTGAGGCTGGATTTGAAATCATGAAGATGAGTCTTCCTCATTTCAAGCCCTATGCTCTATCCACCGTGCCACTTACTTGCCCTCTAGATCAGTACATCGCAAAACCTCTTCGAGGTCCTCAGTAATTTTTTAAAATGTAAAGAGGTCCTGAGACCCAAAGTTATTGAACCACTACTAGTCTGAGGGTTGCTTTAGATTAGATTAACCTTATGTTAATCAGTCAGTAAATATTACTGACCGGCACCCGGTATGTGTCAGGCACTGTGCTAAAGTATTGGAGACACAAGGATGGCTAAGAAAGTACTTTCTTCAAGGAGATCACGGTCTAATGAGGGAAACAACACACCAGCAACTCTGGACAATAAGCATAAGTTTTGTCTCTTCTGTTTAAGGCTTATTTGAAGCTAGGAAAAATAAGTCTTGTATCAGTTACTCAGGAGGATTTTTATCTTTGCGCACTTGCCAAAGATATCAGTTCTTCATCTTTATCATCTTCAAAAAGTCTGAATTTCTCCACATGGCACTATATAGAAAACTTACTTTGAGAAATTCTTTTTAATAAAATCTGGAATTCACGTAGCACTGAGGTTAGAGGATAATTCACATTATAAAATAATTTCATTTTACAAAATTATTTGCTTCAGGTGTTTTTTAATGACTTGCCCTGATTTATAGATTATTTTAAAATAAATAAATGTGGTATACTATGCCTGTAGACACATTCTTTCTGGGAATTGAAAGACTGTTAATGACATCATTAACAAAGATGCCAGGGACATCACTGGGTGGAGATAAAAAAAAATAATGAGACCATTTCCATGGAAATTGCATGTCTGGTTTGGTCAGGGGGAAGCACTCAGTTCTTCTCTGATCTCTGGGGAGGCTTCCTGGAAGAGATGGGAGGAATGGAAGGAGCGCTGGTCCTGGAGAATGAAGATTTAGGTTTGAATCTTGACTGTCATTTATTACTTGTGTGATCTTTGGCATGACAGTTGACCTCTCCGAGTTGCGGTTTCTTTATCTGTAAAATAAGGGTTTGGACTTAGTATATGTTTGATCCCTGTCTAAAAATCCCATGATCCTTGAGGCTGTGGTGGAAGTAATCATGTTTGTCATGCTATTTGGAAGCAGGGCATATGCGGTTCAAGAAATTGCTACAGAGGAGGCTCCATGGCAGGTGGGATAAACAACGTGGAGTAGGTGCATCTGGGCTCAGTAGAATAATGGGACTAAACCCAAGAAACCAGGAAAATGTGGTCCAGGATGTTCAGGTGAAGGAATTTGTTCATCCTGCTGTAAAAGGGACCAATGAATAGTGGGACCAGACAAGTGGTTTCATGGGCTCAGAGGCCAGCTGCTGTCTCACTCTCAGTCCAATCTAATAAAAGCAATGTGGGTGTTTCACAAGGAAATAATTGAAATACCTGGCAAGTCTGTGAGTGGCACCACGTTGAATGAGTGGCACAACTGCAGTGGAGACCCAAAAGAAGGCCCCTTCTCCTCTCTCTACCTCATATTTCATCATTTGAAACACAGGGAGGAGACATGCCATGGGGTTAATGTTTATTAGTAAAGTACTACATATGAAAATATCCAGTGAAAAATAACGGTTAATGCAAAACCTTAGCATTACTTTTTACTGTTGTTAATAATACCTTTGAAGTCACTTTGTCTACACATTGAGAAGTAGATACCATTTCATGTAAAAAAAATTTCCTAAAATCAGTGCTAAGTGTAAACTGAGCAAAACTATCTCACCCTTCATCTCCAGACACAAAACATACTAAATACAATCCAAGAAGGGTAACTTGTAAAAGATGTAGGCCAACTCATTGCTGCTCTGTATTCCTTTGCAAGTTCTCTGTCAAGAGTTTTGTTTCCCCTTTTCATTTTCTCACTAAAGACCAAGAGTTTCAAACTTCTTCAAGTTGCTGTATCATCAGAAAATTATTCTAGGCATCAGGCTTTTAGCAAGGAGAGGGAAGGGAAACAGTGGTACATCCTACTTGGACTTCCGTAGTGCTCTCAAGTAGAGAGAGGGGTCTTTCAGGAGAAGCACTAAGAGCTTAAGGAAAGCTGTGGCCTCAAGGTCATTCCTGGGGCCCTCACTTCCTTCTTTCCCTCTTTTCCTTTCCCTTCTTCCAAAAAAAGAAATCTTCCTCAGTAACATAGACAGGAAGTATTCTGGGGCAGGGGTACCAGGAGGTATGGTATGAACAGGATTTCCTAACCTAAGTTTTTCCTCTTCCTTAAAAGAAGAAGCCCAAGCACAGAGGAGTCAAGTTATTAGCTCAAGGTCATCTGGTAGCAGTGCAGGAAAGGGAACAAATTCCCAGGGTGGGTCTCTGCCTGTGCCACTTCTGGCCTGGGACGAATGCCAGGAACTTGATTGTACTTGGGTGTGATTCCCTGCTGCTTTGCTGCATCCGCCAAGTAGGCAGAAGAGACCAGTGGCAACATATTTTGAGGCCTTTCCTATTGCAAGACTGTTAGGTCTTGGACTGTTCATCTATAGAAGCAGTCTTCCCAGACCCACAGTGTCAAGGGAAAACCTGGTTCTGTCCTTGGTGGCTTGGATTTGTAGTGGGGACCAGTTGAACCCATCACTCTTTGGCTTTCAGGCTGGTGCTGACCACCACCTCTGAGAATAACCTTTTAGAAGCCAGCAGGCATGTGTGCACCTGAGGTATGATGTAAGGTGTCCTGGTGAAACAAACGGAGGTTATACCTCTTGTTCTCTCCTGGTACGTCAGCACCGCAGCTGGCATGGAGCCAAGATGGTATCTCACTGTGTGTGTTCCCTGGACAGGTCTGCTGCCAACAGAATGATTACTGGCAATTTGTAAAGGACATTCGGTGGCTCAGCCCTCATTCGGCCCTTCACGTAGAGAAGGTAAGACATGGATTTGAGGGAGATATTTGAGCATGCAGGAGGTAAAATATTATCATTCAAGTGCCTACTAATTCTTTTGCCTAAGCAGTGGAGTGAGTGAGTGAGTGTGTGTATGTATGGAAGAGATGTGTTGGGGGCAGAGAGTTCTTATTAACTAAGTAAGGTAAGACTGTCCTATTTCCTAGAGAAGAACTGGGCTAGGGGGAGAGGTGGGGAGAGTGTCTCTTTTGTTTTGAGCAGTAGAAGTGAAAGGTTTGACATACGTGACCTCCAGGTTTCCTGACAGCTCTAAACCTGTGGTCCTGTGAGCCATTCAAACCCAGTCATTTATGGATTGTTACAGAGAGCTATGGAAAAGGGGGAAAAGTTTCCTTTTCCCTTAAGTGAGGAGTGGGATTAAATGATCCCTTTTAGCTTGAAAGCTGTGATCCTATGACCTAAGGAATGCCTCTGACTTGTTAACACGGAGTTTGTGTGTGGAAGAGAATGGTGAGGGATTGCAGAATCCAGGGCTGCTGGCAGCAGGTAGTGTCTGAAACAACATCAAGAAAGAAGGGACAGGAAAAGCATTAGAGTATAATTTTGGTAACTGTTTAAGGGAAAGTAGCACCAGGAAAAGAAGAAATAGCAGAAACTCCCTTTGCCTGGTACCAGGTGAGCCACACATTTGGCTGTGACTGTGCCAATGCCCTCCTCCTCCTGCCTGTTTTTGGGCATAAGCTGCTGATTTTGGTGGTAGAATAATGGCAGAGAAGGTGAAATCCCTAAGAGTTTCCTTGGACCAAAGTTAAAATGTGGCCCTAGTCTTCTCAAAGAGGAGAAGCCAGAGCCCTACTTTCTCTTACCTGGTGCTCTTGTCCGGAATTCCTTTATCTGTTTCCTCCAGCATTTCTGAAACATCCTGCTGGAGGGTCCTTTTTCTGCAGGGACTATCTAGCAATGCTGACCACATGAGTTAGTCTACTGACTTAGATTTTCTTTAGGGGCAAGATAGGAGGGGGAATATCTCTGAAATGTGTAGGTACATCATGAACTTTTTCTTCTTCTGGAACTGTTTATCTGGTCTTAACTGCTTCTTCCCTCCCTCGTAGTTTCTGTTGACTGTAATCTGTCATTTGTCTGAGATGTTCCTCCCTGCCCCACTCACCAGAGCCTTAAATCCAGCCAAAGATTTCTTTGGGTTCTGCTGTTGGCTGTCACTCCAAGATCCGTGGCATTGGCAAGTCAATCAATGCCAATCAATAGACATTTTATTAAGCACCTGTTAGGTACAAGAAGAGAAGCACAGTGGAGACAGAGCTGATCTCAGAATCATGAAGGCCTGGGTTTAGTCTTACCTCTGATATATTCTGGCTGTGCAGTCCTGGATAAATTACTTAACCTCTGAGTCCTCCCAGGCAACTCTTGAGACTGGAAATTGCAAAGCAGGTGACAGCTCTCTGCTGGTAGGGGGGCTTCCTCATTAGGAGATCCCTGTGCCATTGAAATTACAAACAAAAAATAGTAGAGCTGGAGGTACCCTTAGAGGTCCTCTTCACTCCCTCCCCTGTTCATTGCCCCAAGGACTTTCGGGGGCATACCCTTTCTCCCTCAGTTCAGTTCTGAAGGTTCTGACGGCTCTTGGACTTTCCATGATGAGAGATGAGGCTTTCGGTCCTAATGCATGCATTAGCGTACCTGCTGTCTATCTCGCAGTTCATCAGCTTGTATGAGAATGGCCAGCGGAGCCCAGACGGCGTGAGGGACCAGGCCATCGCAGAGCTGTGGCTGCAGCACAGCCTACAGTTCCACTGCCTATCTGCTCAGCTGCGGCCCTTGTTGGGAGACAGACAGTACATCAGGAAATTCTACACAGGTAGGCAGAGCCTGGGAGCCTTTCCTTCCTCAGCTCCACGTTGTGCCTTGCCAAAGTGCTCTTCGTAATTTCCAGGACAGTAGTTCCCCTATCTCCATGTCAGATAACAGAACGTTTCCTGGCAGAGCAGTATTGCCAGCTCTCCCTCCTTTCCTTGCCCCTCCATCTTATATAATAGGGCCAGTGTTTTACCCTTATGATGCCCTCACCCCCTTGCTTTCTTGCTCTCTCTCTCTCTCTCTCTCTCTCTCTCTCTTTCTCTTTCTCTCTCTTTCTCTCTCTTCCACGCCTCTGATTGCCAGCCTTTTATGCATCTGTTCCTGATTGTCTTTGTTCCTTCGAGTCCCATACTCCCTACTCTTTTCCTGGCTATAGAGTGGCCTCCTGCCCCCCTTTCTTCTCCATCAAATTGCTGCTCATAAGTCAATGGGGAGGCCGCATATGGTTCCTGAAGCTCCTCCTGGGTTTCCTTTCTCTTTGTAGATGCTGCTTTCCTGCTAAGCAGCGCTCACGTCACAGCCATGCTGCAGTGCCTGGAGGCAGTGGAGCAGAACAACCCCCGGCTCCTGGCTCAGATTGACGCTTCCATGGTAAAGAGGCCAAGGAGGTGTTAGACACCTCGTCCTGTTGCAGCTTGCTTTCATTTAGGGGTTCAGGAGCTGGGGTGGAAGGGTAAAACCCCATTTCTCTCCCTCCCACTCTGTTTTTGGAAAGTAGAAATGTAATCAGGTGGGCCTGAGGGGTGAAGAATCTGGGGATGGGATTAGTTTGGGGTCTGCTTTCTATTTTGAAGGATAGATTTCCATTTAAGAAGAAACACTGGGATGCTGCAAAGGTCTCCCATCTGAACAGGCCCGTCCCCAGGGAAGAGGCACTACTAAAGTCTAGGTAGAATGGGTAATACATCTATAGTAAGAATGAAATATGTGGGTTACAGGGTCTGTACTGGTTCCCCTAAATCAAGGGTGGGGAACCTGCGACCTTGAGGCCACTTGTGGCCTTCTAGGTCCTTGGGTACAGCCTTTTGACTAAGTCCAAGTTTTACAGAACAGATCCTTTTATTGAGGGGATTTGTTCTGTGAAGTTTGGATTCAGTCAAAGGGCTGCACTTGAGGCCACAAGTTCCCTACCCCAGCCCTAAATTCATTATATGACCTAGTGTTACACATGATCAGTTTTACCCTTCAAGTATTGAGAACATTAGGTTGACTCTTGTTAATCAGGGCCTTCTGGCCCTCCTACTTGGTCAGCTGCTCCTGAGCTGACCAGGTAGAAACATTCTGGCAGCTGAGGTCAGACACTGCTAATTGGAGGAGAGGTTGTGCTGCATTGTTTGATGACAAGTTCAGGCTGCAACAGAATCCTGAAGCCAGAAGCCAGCTTTCTTTAAGGAAACCTGGAGCTGCTGGGTCTGTATGCAGAACTCTTCCTTCAGGAGCAATGTCCGCGGCTTCAACCTTGTTTCCTTTCAGTTTGCCAGGAAGCATGAGACCCCGCTGCTAATGACCAAAAGCCAGAGTCTGACGGCACTGCCTGGCTCCTCCAACACCCCTCCTGCCAAGAATACCCAGCATTGTTATTTTGGCTCCTTCTCTGGCCCCTACCAATCTACCCCCATCCCCATCACAGGTGAGGAGGCAGGGAGACCAGGGATCTCATGCTCGCTCCTGCTCTGGTGGGTGTAAAATATACTCTTTGTGTGTGTGTGTGTGTGTGTGTGT